CATCGTAAATGCTTTCCTAACTCAAAAAAAAGCTATGCTATTTAATAAACATAGACGTTAGTTGTCTGTTAGTGATAAGCCTACTGCAGTTGTGACAAACACTAAACTTTGAACAAAATGCTATAGGTCAAACTCGAATATACAAATATCAGTGGACTATTACGAATAATTGTCTACTTAGTTAATTAAACAATATTTACATCTTATTTACCATTGCATTTCAATAGCTAAAAGTACAAAGTTCACTTTTGACTTAAAATTTCAAATTAGCTCATATTTTTTGTGGCCTATTTTATGAGCAAAAAGAACACAAAAAAGCAAGAGCATAAAGGCTCATTTTTGACATGGCTCGTTTTTTTGAACCACCCTTACATACATATATATATACATATTTATTTTACAATATATATATATATATATATATATATATATATATATATATATATATATATATATATATTAGGGTGTCCCGTTTCCGCCTTTTTTTTAATTCTAAAACTTTTTATGTGAGGTGCATAATGATTAAAAAAATTTTTTTTTTTTTTTTTTTTTTTTTTTAAACATCTTCACTTCCAACAAGGCTGCAAGCAACCACTATAAGAGTTGGAAGTTACTGGAAGAGAAAAGACTAAATCTGTAGAGCAAGATAACGATTGACTGATGACTTAAAAGATTGCAAATTATATGAATCAGGAAAGCAAGATGAAGGAAGCGAATTCCAAAGAACTGATGTTCGAGGAAAAAAACTAGAAGAATAAGAGTTTTTGAAGCACTTAGGAACAGTCACAGAAAAAGGATGAGACTTAATTGAATGGCGAGTAACACGAGAGTGAATTTTAGTAGATGGCACAAGGGACGCTAGCTCTTTAGAGCAGTGCCCATTATAGTATTTGTAGAAAAGAGAAAGAGAAGCAACATTACGACGATGTGACAAAGGTTGGAGATTGGCTGCAAGAGCAGGTCCAACTATGTTTACAATTCGTTTTTGCACCTTGTCTAAAAGAGAAAGAGCATCATTAGAAGATCCGCCCCAGATGTGGCTACAGTATTCCATACAGGGACGGATTTGAGATTTATAGAGATAGAGAATAGAATCTGGAGTAAGAAAGTGTCGAGCTCGATAAAGAGATGCAACCTTAGCAGATGCTAATTTTGCAATGGATTTGATATACGGTTTAAAAGAAAAATCAGAAGTAAGAGTTAATCCTAGAAGATGAATGGTAGATGACTCATCTAGTACATTACCATTCATAAATATAGGAAGATCCAAACTATTACGATAACGATTGGCCGAATAAAATTGAGTTTTATCTGAATTAAAGTTCACCAGCCACTGTGAGCCCCATGCTGTAGCAGAAGTGAGATCCTTTTCAAGCTCAGATACCCCCTCCAAGCAATCAGAGAGTGTAGGCTTCTTATCATGACAAGAGTAAATGGTAGTGTCGTCAGCGAATAATGCCACCTTAGATGTGAGAATATCTGGAAGATCGTTAATGTAAATTAAAAAGAGTATAGGGCCAAGGATTGAACCTTGAGGAACCCCTGAAGTTACAGGATGTGAAGAAGAGTGTTGTCCATCGAGGACAACTTTTATACTACGATTGGAAAGAAAGGACTCAATAATCTTAAAGACGTTACCAGCTACACCATAAGAAGAAAGCTTATGGAGAAGACCAGCATGCCAAACTTTATCAAAAGCTTTAGAAATGTCAAGTGCGATAGCCTTAACCTCTCCACCTCTATCTAATGCACGGTAAAACCTATCGGTTATTACTGTTAGCACATCAGCTGTAGAACGAGAAGACCGAAATCCATATTGATGATCAGAAAGTAAGTTATTTGATTCAAGATGAGAGATTAAGTGTTTGTTGATTAAAGATTCAAAAACCTTGCTTATGACAGGAAGAAGACTAATGGGACGGTAGTTAGATGAATCTGATTGCTCTCCGGAATTTTTGAAAATAGGGATAACAGATGCTGCTTTCCAGCATGATGGAAAACAAGACTGATAAGCACTTGTTAAATAGTTTAGAAAGTATGGATGAAAGCTCCGGAGAACACCTCTGCAAAACTACAACAGGAATGTTGTCAGGACCACAAGCTGTTGAAGAGTCTAAGCAGGAAATTACTTTAGATACAGAAGCTGAAGTGATGCGAATGTCAAGCAAGGGATCAACCTGTTTGACGGCTATGTCAGGTAAAACGCAACTAGTGGAATCAAGAGATGATATTGATGAAAAGTTCTTGGCAAACAATTCAGCTTTGTCTTTAGGTGAGGTGACAAAGTCTGAACCATACAAGAGAGAAGGAATAACAGATTTGCCCTTATTATTGATACTGTTAAAGATTCTCCAGAAGTCTCGAGAGCCTAATTTTTGTGATGAGATACGAGATTTAATGACCTGGGAATAGCGAGCTTTGGCGTCAGACAAAACCTTTTTACAATGGTTTCTGGCGATAGTTAACAGATGTCTGTTTTCTGGAGAATTGTTTTGCTGAT